TGCATAAATTTGTGCTGCTGAAGCGAATCAAAAACTCCCTCATGCGCACAGCTATTCTCCAGCTGCAGCAAGAGCAGCAGCAGCAGCAGCAGCAGCAGCAGCAAGAGCAGCAGCAGCAAGAGCAGCAGCAAGTGTATGATGAGGAGTTGCATGCACGCTTGTGGGGCCGCTGGGATGACCCCCCCCTCACTGACGAAGAGATATATGAAATCCTAGGAGTGGACCTGCAGCAGCAGCAGCAGCAGCAGCAGCAGCAGAAGCAGCAGCAAGACGCTGCTGAGGGGCAGCCTTCGGCGTCTGCTGCAACGAAGCAGTCTGGCAGCAAAAGCAGCAGCAGCAGCAGCAGCAGCAGCAAGAGTGCCGCGAAGAAGACAACAGCAGGGAATCGATCCGCTGCTGCTGCTGCTGCTGCTGCTTCTGCTGCTGAGGCCCCACCTATGGATTTAGAGGCGATGGAGCTGCCTGAGCCTGAAGACTATGCAGCAGCAGCAGCAGCAGCAGCAGCAACAGAAGAAAAAGCTAAGAAAGCTGTGAATGTTGGGGGTGCTGCGAGGGCTGTGGCTGAGTCGGCTGTGCTGCTGCTGCAGCAGCTAAAAGGAGAATATCTGTATGTCTTTGTGCATGCATCTGCTGCAGCAGAAGATAGAGTAAGCGAGGCAGTCGGTGTTGTGCTGCAGCATGCTGCTGCTGCTGCTGCTGCTAACAAAGAAAGAGCAGCAGCAGCAGCAGCAGACAACACACGGAGAAAGCCAGGAGATAAATATATTCTGCTGCCTGTAGATGACGCCCCCCCAGCTGAGTATTTACCTCTCATCACCCGCACAGCTGCTGCTGCTGCTGCTGCTGCATCGAAGGGGAGAGACAGCGCGGAGGCGAAGGCAGCAGCAGCAGCAGCAGCTGCTGCTGCTGCTGCAGCAGAAGCAGCAGCAGAAGCAGCACTAGGAAAGCCGCGCGGGGCCCCACCACCGCTGCTGCGTGCTGCTGCTCTCACCCCCGACCGCCTCATTCCCTCTCCTAGTGTTTCTCTGCTAGCTGAGCTGCCAACGAGAAAGCAGCTCACACAGCAGCTAGCTGGTAAGAACACAAACATATTGCTGCTGCTGCTGCTGCTGCTGCTGCTGCGTGGTGCTGCAGCAACAGGATTACAGAGCAGGTAGCCGCAAACGCCAGATGAGCAGCGATATTCCTTGACGCCTTCTGGCCGTGCTACTGCTGCTACTGCTGCTGCTGCTGCTGCTGCTACTGCTGCTGCTGCTGCTGCTGCTGCTGCATAGTTTGCTGCTGTGTTTGTGGGTGTGCTGCAGAGAAAGCTCTGTCGCCGTCGGTGCAGCTTCTCTCCGCGCTGCAGCGGAGCGGCGGGGCGCTGAGCCTGACCCTCCGGGCTACGCAGCAGCAGCTGCTGGCTCTGTTAGAGCATGGCCGCAACAAGGCGGAGCAGCAGCAGCAGCAGCACCTCGTGCTGCACCAGCACCAGCAGCAGCAGCAGCAGCAGGAAGGCCCGACCGACAGCGCACAGAAACCAAAAGAATCTAACTAAGGACTGCTCCCTCAGTCCTCTTGAAGGCCATCCACAGCAGCAGCTGCTGCAGCTGCTGCTTCAGCAGCAGCAGCAGCTGCTGCTGCTGCTGCTGCTGCTGCTGCAGCGGTTGCTCGTGCAGCAGTTGCTGCTGGCATCTCCATCAGCCCCTTCCCGATATAAATTTTTTAATGCAGTGCCTGGAAGCTGTCTGTACACCTCAGCTGTATGGCGGCGGAAAGAGTTCATCATAGAAAACAGCAGAAGTGTGTTTGTTGCTGCGGATACACCGCAGGGCCCGAGGCCCACACATGCTTTCTCTGAATACTTATTTTCTTTTGTTTTTGTTTCAATGGTTATAAGACGATCGACACTGATCTGCGCCGCTGCTGCTGCTGCTGCTGCTGCTGCTGCTGTTACTTGTGCTGCTATAGCTGATGTTGCTGCTACTGCTGCTTCTGTGTTTCATGCGCTCATACGAATTGCTGCTGAAAGCAACGAAGACAGAGAGCAGCGCCAGTAGCAGCTAATTAATATATTGATATTCTAGTTACCTCTCACCCTGTATATGAACGCCCAGGCGGAACAGTACAGAAAGCTTGATACGTTGATCCCGGTTTTTTTCAATAAATAATTTAAAAATATATGTATATGTTATAATATATATAATATATTATAAGATATACATTATATATTATATATAAATATATTTTAAATATATATAATATATATTATATATTATATATTAAAGATAAATATAATCCTTAACCTGAACACCATCGTATCTGCATATACAGCACTGCCATTTCAAAAAAAATAAAAAAATAAAAAAAAAAGGATTAGGAGGCCACCGCTTTAAATATAAATAAATAAATTAAATAAGGATGAAGGGACTTGGGCAAAGTTAATAGTTATATATTAACTGTAGTGAGTTGGTGAGTAATATATGAAAATTTAATGAACCCTTATATTAGAGTTTAAAAACTTTAAACTTTATTATATTCTTAAGGTATAGTTTCTTAATATGAAGAAACAAAAACTTAATATATAAAAAGTATTTTATTTTTAAGAGAGATGCAGCGAAATTTATCATTTATATTTCAGTATAAACTTTCTTGTATGGCCTAGAGTTCACACTAACCACTGCACTGACACGCAGACTAACATAATAGTAATAATACTAAAAGTATGAAGACTTAAGTTTCGGGGTTTCTCGCTGATTATAAAAAGCAACAGCTTCTGCTACATCCTCTTCCGCTCGGTACTCAATTCTCGCAGCTTCCTCTTCACGTATTCACTCCTCTCGCGCTCAGCCTGCGGGGCCAATGATATTTTATGTATATATATATATATATATATATATATATATATATATATATATATATATATATATATATATGAGGACAGTTGTTGGCTGCAACTGCGCTGAAACAGTTAAGAAATCCATAGAAGCAACTGCTGGGTAAGCAGAGTATCGAGTAACGACGTACGCTGCTGCTGCTGGTGCTGCAGCACGACTTTACATGCAAGCAGAACTAAGTTATACTGCTGCATGCACTAGCTCTACAGAGGACTGCTGAGCAGTTCCTTTGCCCCCCCATGGCCAGCCTGCAGGCAACCAGGGAAACTGAAGAAGGTTCTGCTGCACAGACTGAGCTAACTACATAGTGTGTGTGTGCGCTGAGGCTGCAGACGAGAGAAAACCCGTATTCTTAGAGTAGCTGGGCTCTGGTGTTGTGTCAGTTGCAGGTTTCTCTTCTCTGTGTGTGGAGGCATAGAAATCAAGCCGAAGGTTACCGGGGTACCTGTACACCTGACGGCCTTCTCTCGCTAGGCCTCGCTAATTCAGGAAGCCACCAGCTTATGAAAATCCCTCTGCTTGTAAATATTCTTAAACTGCCTCGAAAAGAAGCTGCTGGGGAAGAAGCAGCAGCAGCAGCAGCAGTAGGAACATCAGCAGCAGCAGTAGTGGGGTGGCTGCCACATCGAGGCTCCTCTCACTGTGCAGCTTCATATTGCGGGGTATAAGTTTGTTTGTCTGTCTCTAAGTTTTTTGTTAATTTACAGAGAATTTCGAAAAATAAGATGGAGAAGATTGTATATTTATACTATTACTTCTGCTTCTAGAGAGAGGTACGCAGCGGGGTGTATTATATTGAGCTATTGCTGTGGGGCTCCGCCGTGAAGGTCAGCAGAGCCAGTGTCCTCGCTGCCACACCCAGGCGACTGCGTTGCGCTGCATTTCTCTCTCCTTTGCGCTGGAAGGAGGCGAAGTGAAGGGTTTGTGCATGTTTACTATATCGTGTAGAACGCAGTAGAGAGGTCTGTTTGGATACTCCTTTAGCGGCCTCCCCTTCTTCTCCCGTCGAGACGAGGCCTTCACTTAGTTAGGATGGTTGGGTTCGCCCGGCTGGTCCGGGCGTGTCGCCTTCCCGCCGCCCCCGTGCTTAGTTCTATCTTGAAGCTCAACAGGCTTCGTGGTAGAATTCCAGCGACAAGCAGCCGGGCGGGCCAAGCCATGGGCCAGCAGCTGGGCGGAGAACGCTTCACCGACAGGACATATACGTACAGTGTGCCCACTGCACTTGCTTGTGCAGCCGCTGGTTTAGCTTTGTTTACTGCTGTTTCTGCTTCTCGCACGGAAGGTTTAGTGCTGTGCGAAGGCCCCGGCTGTGATAAAAATCATGAAAACCCACTGTGGAGATCCAGGGAGAGTCAGCCCTTCACGAGGAAGCTCGGGGACGCGTTGCTCTTCACCGGAACAGCCAATGAACATTTGGGCTCCGCTGTTGCAGAAAGACTTTCAACTCGTTTGGGAAGAGTTTCAGTCGGCCGGTTTGCTGATGGAGAGGTGAACATCCAGTTTCTTGATTCTCTGCGGGGGAAGGATGTGTACATCATACAACCCACCAGCACGCCTGTCAACGACCACCTCATGGAACTCCTCCTCATGATTTCAACTTGTCGCCGCGCCTCCGCCAAAAAAATCACAGCTGTCATCCCCTACTTCGGCTACGCCCGGCAGGACAGAAAGATGAACAGTCGGGTCCCAATCTCAGCGGTGGGGCTTCCGTATCGCACTTCGCTGCACTGCACAGTCCTCAACTAGTAGCTGCATGGGTGAAGCGCAGAAAAAGTGCATGCTAGCAACGGACATTTCTGTTGGGGGGGAGGCTGGATACAGGCGGGCAAAGCTGTTTTTTTTTTGTTTCATTATCTAGGGATGGGGAATATGGGTTGTGTTTACAGCGGTTTCTGTTCGTAAAGAGGAATATATGCGTTTTTGTTGTCTATTCGTTGCAGGCTGATGTTGCGCGGATGATGGAGGCGATGGGCGTCGATAGAGTAGTGGCTGTTGATCTGCACTGTGGACAGATTCAAGGTTTCTTCGGCCCGCGTGTGCCAGTAGACAACGTAGAAGCCCAGATCGTTGGCTTGGATTACTTCGAGGCGAAAGAATTAGACAAACCAGTCGTGGTTTCCCCAGATGCTGGCGGCGTGTACAGGTAGGACGTGGAGTGCAGGCTGCAGGAATCCTGTTCAAGTTCATGTGAATCTAGTGAAATCAGACCTGCGTCTACATGTTTTTGTTGCGATTCATGTTGGAAACTTCCTGAAATGGATATTATTTTGTTTCGTTCATGTTCAATGTTGCAGTGGACTGGAAACTTGCACGTTTGGTTTCGCTTCTATCGGTCGGTTTCGTGTTCTTGTTTGGTGTTCAGGGCGCGGAAATTTCAGGAAGGCATGGTCCGCCGCGGGTATAAAGACTGTTCGATCGCCATGTTGATAAAGCGCCGTATTAAGGCAAATGAAGTGGAAAGCATGGATCTTGTAGGATCTGTAGAGGGACGCGATGCCATCATCGTAGACGACATGATAGATACCGCCGGTACACTCGTGGAAGCTGCAAGGGAACTGAAGAAAAAAGGAGCAAAACGAGTGTTTGCATTTGCCACGCATGGACTTTTTAGTGGACCTGCAATAGACAGAATTCAAAAAAGTGCACTNGAGTGTTTGCATTTGCCACGCATGGACTTTTTAGTGGACCTGCAATAGACAGAATTCAAAAAAGTGCACTTGAAGAAGTCGTCATCACGGACACGATCAAAGTGAGAAAAGAAGAAAGCTGTCTGCTGAAAAAGAATAAAAGTGACGGCAGGTTGCTGCATAATATCTGCACAGATATCGTGGGGTGTATGTACACCTCAGCGTTTCGAAAGCTGCGCGCTTGACTTTTTGAATTGTGTTCTGTGGCTTTGTGATTTATATTTACAGGCACGGCCGATGGTGACGAGTTGCAAAAAGATAAGGATTCTCTCAATATCTATATTGTTGGCGGACGCTATTCGTCGGATCCATCAAAAAGAAAGCTTGAATGACCTGTTCAACTTCGCCAGTGCATCCCAGTTGGATTCAAGTACAAGTGCAGGCACAGAGCAGCCACCACAGCAGCCGTAGCCAGCCAAGTGGTGAACTTAGACTTGAGAGAAACTTTTGTACTGTGCTGTATAGGCAGGGATACGGA